ACTACACACACACACAATCATGCACACATGCTTGAGGAAAGCCCCCTCACGGAGGAGGAATTCCCAGTTCTGGTGAAGAGTTTGACATTCTCCTTGTGAAAAGAAGCTTCCCACACTTTGGAGGTCCCACAGGACACATGCCTTGATGTGTCCACAGCTCCTCATGAGGGCCAGCTGGGTGGTGCTCCCTTCTGCAGAGCAGAGCTGAGCTTTCCACACTGTGCTGTTCCCTTTRGTGATAATGTCCACCCCCTCCCAATCCAGCTGGGCAGACTCCAGACACCAAGAGCTGCAGCTCTCGGAGCCTTCTGCCCACCAAGCCCTATGTGGGGAGGGCGAGCCGTCCAAAGCAGAGCTCATGCCAAGATAGGCTTCGTCCTCTTCTGGACAGGACTGGGGCTGCTGTGTCCACGGCTCCCCTCTGGGGCCCCCAGGGCCTCCAGACCTGCTGCTGACTCAGACTCGGGGGTTTCTTCTACAAGGCAGGCTTCTTGCATATCTTTCCCGCCCCCCAATTTTGGAAAACCCTKTTCTGGTAGGATAAGGAGGTCCACCCAATCCCAGGAGACTGGTACAGGTAGAAGTCCACCTTACATCTCACATCTGCAATGGGCTGAATTGTGCCCCAAATGCACGTTAACTTCCCAACCCCAGTGCCTCAGAGAAGGCCTGGGTTTGGAGTTGGGATCTTTAGAGAGGTCATTTGGTTCAATGAGGTCATTAGTGTGGCCCTAGTCCACTCTGACTGGGGTCCTCAGAACATCAGGACACAGACACACAGAGCGATGACCATGTGGGGACATGGGGGAGACAGTGGCCACACACCAATGGGAGAGGCTACAGGAACCAGCCTGGCCACGTCATCAGCTGGACCTGAGTCTAGCCCTATGGGCGAGGGCACACCTGGGGACCTAACTTTCCAAGTGCCATGCTGCAGCAGCTGGTGCAGACCAAGCCAGCATTCCACCAGTGAAATACATGACACAGCTGCCCACACATGCTCTTCTGCTGACTTAGGTGTGGGGTTAGTCCAACTTACCGCTGAACAGGRCAGGCTGGCTCTATCCCTGCTCCCCATGGGTGTCGCCACCTCCAGCCAGGGTAGCCTGGTTGGGCTTACCAGGACTGCCCGAGCTGAGAACTCAGCAAAATGACCCTGGGGATTTGGAGGCCAAGTTCTAGGAAGCCTGGCCTCATCTGTCTGGGTCTACTGGATGCTCACTCTTGGGAAGCAGACTGGGATGGCCAGTCTACTGTGCTGAGCGGCCCACACGGCTCAGCATTCTGTGAGAAGAACCTGAGTTGTCACAGCACAATGCTGGAGACACCCAGAGGTGGCCCTGCAGATCAGACAAACCACCCAGTGGGGTCCTTCCCCAAGACCCTCAAGAGTGGGCAATGAAACAGCTGACTCAGAAGCACCGGAGTGGCTTGTGCCAGATAGGTGATGTGAACTCACCCTTTCTTCCAGGAGGTCCCAAGTATTGTCACACAGACTCAGAATTCCTGCCTCACCCCCAAGCCTGTCTGCACAGCGCCCACCCGCAAGGCGCCCACGAGGCTGGATAGAGTCCAGAGGGTGAAGGAATTCAGCCATTGGAAAGACTTACTTATTTTTATTGAAAAACAATTTTACTGGAAAACCTTGGGAATAAAAGTTGTCGATTATTCTGTTACTAATAAAAACACACACAAACTCCACACCTGCATTCCACCACGCCAACTCCAAGGTGGCAGTTCATCTTTCTCACCCACTTCAAGAGGGAGCTGAAGCACAGAGCCAAGGTCACACCAYGGGCAAGTGGCAGAGTTGGGATTTGGGCCTATGCTCAGACCTCTGTGCACCATCATTTCAAATGGGAGAGCTGGGCATCAGAGTGGATGTGCAGGAGTGGCCATGATGAAAGGGCTCCAGCAGCCCAGGGACAGGGAGGTCCCACCAGTCCCATTAGTTGCCTTGTCTGTCTACTCTGGACCAGGCTCCTGGTCACTCCCCAGGCAGGCAGAGCTGCTACTGTCTCCAGTAGGTGCTGGCTGGGCTGCCCATGACAGGTGACCTGGACCCTGGGGAATAACCTCACTATTCATCTGTCTGTACCGGGTCCTCTCCCCATAAGATGCCAGGCTCTGCTTCTGACASTATCCATTTTCCCTCCTACGGCCTAGCACCCCAAAACCMAAACTCTGCTTTTCTGGAATCTCCTAGCCATCTCCAGGTTCACATGTGTTCATGGACTAGTGTCAGTCACACCCACMGCCTAGGTCTGGGCATGCTCCTTTCTCTCCCCCTTAAACGCTCATCACTCCCAAGATCCCTCTCCTCACTGCCTGATTACCCSTGGTGCTTGGGCTCCACCAGAAGCATCCCTCCCCACTTCCCTGAGCATCAGAGGCCCAGGGCACAGGCCCATCACAAGGTTGACCTTGGGAAATGACACCTGGTACTTGAAACTGTCATTTATTGTCATCACCCACTGTCAAGGTTCCTGAATTTCTGACGCTGGGGCAGCTGGTACTCCAGCAACAGTCTCCACATTCCCTACCCTGGGGAACTGGGTCCACAGCTCCCTGTATTGGACTTGTGGGCCCACACACGTTCCCTGTAGTTTAGAAGCAGCCAGTAACTGTGCCAGACTAAGGTTTWATCTACTCATGAGACTCATCTCTGAGACTCACAGCACATGAAGAGCCAGGCCACAAAAGGACCTCGTTTCCCAAGAATCCTGCTTCAGCTTTTCAACACTGACAAATGGCAGCTCTCCAAAATCCTAGAGCATAATGCTTCCTTCAGATCCTCTGCAAAGACACCAGGGTACGGTTTTGCTTCTCATCTCCTTTGGCAGAGCATCAACTACCACTTTCTGAAAGCCATCAACTTGCTGACATGGGGCATTTCTGCTCTGCCTCAGACCCAGAATGACAGACTTAACTGCTACCCCARCGGCATTTGCAGTAAACGGATTAAGTGTCCTTTAGCTAGAAGTTGCCCACAGTGTCTTTCAGACGGGTCCTGGGGAAGGGACTGCTGTCCCGGGGCATGTAAGACACAGGCCAGAGCTCCGCCCCAGGAAGCGCCTTCGGACTCCAGGGGTCTTCCACCCTCTAGTCCGTGCGCAAACACTCCACGGCAGAGGAAGGCAATTCGCTTYCCATCTGGGGCTCTGGCTTGACTGGGTGTGGGCTGATCCCCAGGGCTGCCGGTCCTAAGGTCAAGAGAGGTCAGAACAYGGGCGGTTAAAATTTATTTCCTCTATAAGGCACCTTCCCGAGGTCACGTCGCTCGGTCGCCSGCGCAGAGGCCGAGGGCTACATCTGCCGCTGCTTGTGCCTGGGGTTGGTCTTGCAGTAGACGAACCAGCGCCCGCGCCGCTTCACCAGGTAGCAGTCCTTGCAGCGCTTCTTGAGCACAGCCTTGGTCTTGAAGCCCGCCGCGGGCTGCGGGAGCGGCAGGCGCGGCACGGCGCCCGCCCGCACGGCGCCCGCGAGGCCGGACAGCAGGGCCGCGCACGAGGCGGACGCCGCGGCGCAGGGGCTCAGGAGTCGGAGCGGGCCCGCGACGGTCGCCAGCACGCGCCTCGCCAGTAGCGCGGCCATGCCTCGTCCCGGCCTGTGGGAGAAAACCCGTCAGCGCCCGCGCCGCGCCCCCGCCCCACCCGCTGCCCACCCGGGGAAACAGAGGCGCCCGGGACCCCGGGACCTGACCTGGGAAGGAACGGTGCGTCCGCACCACCCCCCTCTTCCGCTCCTGCGCCTGCGCACGCGCCTGCTCAGTGGCGCGGGACGCTACCGCCCGGAAGTAAGATGGAGGCGAGTCTCCTGCCCCTCCCCACCCTCCATCAGGCGCCGAGCTCAAGGCACATGCGCACTCGGCTAGCCGGGCGTTTCGCACCGGGCTCCCTCGAACCCTTCCGGTCCGCTACCTGGGTGCCTTGGGCGAAAATGCACAAGTGGGAGTGAAACCGCATCTTCACAATGAAAAAGAAATCACAGCCACTTAGACATAGAAAAAACTGACAAACCARTGTCTAAACGTATGTGAAAGGTAACGTTCTATAAGTGACATCCTGGCAGAAATATGAAGGGGTTCATAGAGGCGAGTGGCTGTAGACAGTGGCCCTAATTGATCACGAATAAACTGTTTATCTCCAACATTATGAAAAGCTCCAAACATGTAAAATAGTGCAACAGATTTTAGAGTGAACACCTAGATTGTCCAGTTAGCGCTCTGAATATTTGTTTTCAGGCATCTATAAGTGAATTCATCCATCTTACTTTTTACGTCTAGCGAAGTGAGTCGTATCAGGCTGGCACTTCTTCGCCAGTTCACAAGGCTAATCCGGTAGCCCACCTTTGTACCTCACCAGGTGAGCACCAGGATCCTGGAGTTTTATTAGCTTTGAGACAATTCTGCCTCTGAGCATGGCATTTGTTGGACCACCTTTTCTTTTTCTGAAGGCTTTTATGCGCATTGTTTCTTATCGACTTTTCTTCCTCTTTATCATTTCCCAATACCTTCCAGCAATATGTAGGCGTTTTTTCTTGGAGTCACCTGGTCCTCAGACTCTGGCTGCAGCTACCAGTGCATCAAACCAGAATCCAGACTGTGGCGCCCGCATGGATACATGTGAGTTTCGGTTAACTCCTTAGGGAATTAGCACCTCRGCCCCACTCCTGCTTTTCCTGTAAATTCAGGGCCCCACCTTAATCTTGTCCCTATGATGTTCGAGCTTGCTCGTTGTACGGGCTGGCCCCTGTGTGACTTTAACCCTTGGAAAAGTCTATGAAAAAGGTTTACATTAGAGGACGAAGCCTGAGGGGCCAAACAGCCCATACCAGGTTTGGAGGCCAGAGTTTTGTACCCTGTCTTAGGCATTTCTCAAGCCTGTGTTTTTGCATGCTAGATAAAATCGACTGTAGTTTTACTGGTAGCTTTTATTAGGTCTCTGTTGCAGAAATCCACAAACTAGGCTGCCTCCTTACCAGGAATGCTGCATATTTTATCAAGGGGGATGCACTTCCATTTTCTTCTGCTAAGCACTGATGTCTACCAAAAATACTGATACTGATAYTTCTCATGATTATCGATGTCAAGAGAATACAAGCAGTGCGTCTTCAGTTTCCACCCTCCTCTGCCTTTCCCAAGTAAGACTCGCTGGGCGTTACTAACTGCGGATCCCCTGCGTACTCCAAGAGCTCGGCCTCAACTGAGCGCAGCCCCAGCCCTCCCAGACCGCGAAGCGCACGCGCACCTCTTGGGGTGAATTCCCGGGAGYCCAGGCCCCCGCCCGAAGCCAGGCGCATGCGCAGCCCTCGGAGCGACGGCGCGCCGGGTCAAGGGTCACAGRCAAGATGGCGGCGGCAGTGACCTTCCGCCAGCTGCTGTGGCTGCCCCGGGTGGCCCGGAGTTTCGGCGTGCGGGTGTCGCCGACAGGGGAGAAGGTCACGCACACCGGCCAGGTAATGATCGGTCCGCGGCTCGGCGGGGGACGGCATGGTGGGCTCACGGGAGGCAGCGGGCAGACAGCGTCGGGGATCGCACAGACACCGACGGACGCTGGTGCACGCCGGTGCTGCCCCGCGCGGCTGACACGCTCGTGCTCGCTTGTGCTGCCCCCTCACTGACACGCTCGTGC